TTGCAACGTGTGTGTGTCGCAGGCTAAGTCCTTTGCTCTGTAGTTGGTTAACGGCTTTCATTTTGTATAACTTACTTATAATGTACGGACAACAGAACCGGTCTATCTGGACCGATTACATGTAGTCCCCCATTTTCCCCTTAAATAGTCGTGATTGATTCCCTGTTGTAATGAGCGGCCATCTTGGTCTTGCCCGCCCGCCTGCACAGGTAGATTTGATACTCCTGGAACAAGAGCTCTTGTCCTGAAACCAAGCGCAAGCGCTTGATCTCGACAATCTTGCGGACTGGAAGAATACGTCCGACCTGACCTAAATCGGTCGGTATTTTCTAGCGACGCACGTGAACCCGAAGTGAACATTTTACTTTATTGGACAGTGATTTTGCCTAGAATTGTGTTTAAACCAGAGTAGCGACATTTAGCGCAAGCGATCTTATTATCCTTCGCCGCTCATTTGCGCACTTATCAAACAAAACCGCCAGCAACGTAGGTTGCCATTCGGTGCGTTCTATGAATCAGGTTATATCATGAGGGGCGAGGTCAAAGTCTTACCATTAGCCTGTTCCAGGCTAAGAGATGGTCGGGTCCCCGTGAGAAAGGGCGAAGACGAAAATAAAACGGGAGGAACTGATATTTTTTCGTGCCTTTTACTTACGCGTCATCCTCACTATCGGAGTGCCTGGAACAGGCTATCTTACCATGGTTTACTTCAGTTCCCAAAAAGCAATAAAAATGAATTTATTTTAGTAGTTTCGTTTTTTTTTTTTTTACATTTAACCGGAAATTTAAAGGTTCATTAGAATCTAAAACTGTAAACGTTGTGCCTCTGAGCTTGCTACTTATAACTAGAACTATTATCGGTACATCTCAACTTTTCATATTACAGCCTATCTATCATAATGTTCCACTATTGACTTAACATTGTAGGAAGTCAGTTGTTCAAAAGAATGTTTCACATGACGTCACGGCGGCCATGGTGGTGTCCCAAACCAGTCCTTTGGGAGTTGAACTCTTTTCTCATGCAAACGCTTTCTTTTGTTCCAATAAATTTGCATAGCTGCTGGCCACGTCGGTGAATGCGCTCTACAGAACGTCTTTACTCACGTGGCCAGCAGCTATGCAAATCTATGGGAACAAAAGAGTGTGTTTTTTACAAAAGAAATAGGGATTACCGGCGTGAAACACTAATTAAAGCTACGTGCAAAAGGACTCAACAACTCCCAACAGTGTTGCGTCAACAATGTTGCGTTTTGTTGCGGCCGTGTTGCAGTAGTGTGCAAACGGATGCAACAACTCCCAACAACATGCAACAAGGTGTGCAAGCAGACGCAATATGTAGCATCCAACAATGTTGGGAGTTGTTGGCCAACAATGGCTAAACCCCGTGCAAAAGGACGCAACATTGTTGGCCAACAACTCCCAACATTGTTGGATGTTACATGTAGCGTTCGTTTGCACAGCCGGTTGCATGTTGTTGCCTGTAGTTGGGAGTTATTCCGTGGGATGCCTGTGGCACTCCACGGTAAAAATCCGGTTCCGTTGTACCCAAAATTGTTAAGCCAGCCAATAGGATTGCGTAAAATCTTTATCGATCCTCTCTTCTTCCAAGCCGACCAAACAGATTGTTCAAAATCTGTATCGATTTCTAATCGATTTGCTTCCTCTGAAGAACGTTGAAATCAGAACGTTCCTTGCCAAATTTGTCGCGCGAGAGTTTTCCCACTCGTGGTTTAGGATGGCGGTTTGTTAACCAGCGAAAGGCGACCTAAGCCAAATTATTTCTTTCCTTCGTGATTCTTTTTTGTTTAGGTCTAGCTTTTTCATAAGGTTTTAATTTTAGAAGGGTCTGGTTGCGAGGCGTGATTTCCGATAGATTTAATTTTTCTATTCGGAGTTCGCCAGTTTTTGCCGAGCACAGCTAGAGTTTTTTTCTTTTCTTATCGGAAACACCTTGACGATCCCTTGACGACTGGCGGTGAAACCGCGAAAATATTGTCCTCGTCGATCGACGACTCGTTTTCGGCATGGATTAGACTTCTGGATGGGAGACGGATCAAGACCTTAGTAAACTTATTATACCTTGAAATCAGGGATAATCGTTGGAACTATGTTAACTTTGAGACTTTGGAAACACATTGCAATTAATTTTTAACCGTATCAAGAGCATCTTGGAATATGAAACTTTCATCTTGGATTAAAACATTGGAACTTTATCGAACTTTGTAACCCTGGGTTCGACCCTGGATAAAGCAAGCGGATGTTTTGTCCATTAACCTAAAACTACAATGTTTATTTGTCTTTGAAAAAGTTACCTGTGGCAACTTACTACCAAGATATGACGTATCTTTATACATATAGTTCCTGTTCAGGTTAATCAGAGAGCATTATGCGCATGTTCTACATTAGTTGTTTCCGTTACACGGGTAAACCTAATTGTTTTGATGCAAAATAACTTCTTTTTCTTATCCAAGTCGTGCTACGAAAATAACTACTTAACAAATAGATTCCATGTTGCCGTGCGTCTGTTCAGTAATAGATCACAGATGACGTCAAAATGTCGTAAAAACAAAGAAGTGACACACTCGCCTGCGGCTCGTGTGTCACTGTTGTTTTTACCACATTTTGACGTCCTCTGTGATCTATTACTGAACAGACGCACGGCAACATGGAATCTATTTGTTTTATACAATGATCAGAAAAGAAAAAGACCGATACACATACCTTCCTCGAACCGCCTGACCTTTTGAGGATTTGTGCTAGTTTAGGCATTTTTTAAGTCCCAAACCCAACTTTTCATCTTAGCTTCTTCTTTATCTTACTTGTGTACAGTTTCTTCGAAAAGTTTTTCACCGTCTTTTCTTGCTCAAAGAAGAATAATAGCATTCACATCATTGTGTAAATAGCGATAGATCAAAACAAGATCAAACTCCATCCTTGCGACCACTGACAACTATAAATTTAGCTTGCGTAGCAGGTGTCGAAAGGGGTAGGTGATAGGGAGGAAGCAAAAAGGGGATGTGGATTGGGGAGAAATTGTAGCCTGCCACGCAGGCTACTGTAAATTCAGTCATAAGCACACTAAACCAACCCATACAGGTAACCTACTCATCGATGCTCATAACATGACACATCTTTCCGGTTTCCCTAATTTTTCCAAATGCAGATAGAACGCCATTATGCTTCCATAGACCAACGCATCCCACGGAAACGAATTTAGGCGTCTTGTTGTGCAAAGTTTGAAATCAGACAAACTCAGTTTTAGCTGCGTGCAAAAGAACGCAAGAACTCCCAAAATTGTTGGCTGTAGCTTAATATGGATGCCGTTTTATTATGCCGTTACACCAATATAGCGGACGTGATGTCATGCGAAAACAGTCCATGGCATTTTTTGATAACTTTTACTTACAAAACAAGAAAATTGATTGACTACCACACAGCCGTAAAACATAAATATGGTGCACATTGTTACCTTTGAGTGCGGTGCAAAAAAAGGAAATAATAATAATAAAATAAAATTACAGCTGTCTCGAGATTCAAGAAATAGCCCATATATACATTATACTAAGTTGCCTGATTGATAAATGCTACGTAAATTATTTATCCTTTCCGGCTAATTAGCTATTTGAATAGGCGCATCAGCTACGAATTCACACTAACAATGTGAGACTAATTTTCGACGTAATATATGTATATCAGGAGTCAACCTGAACTCTTTCGCTTTAGCTAACACCTGGTGATCTCAACTCAAACTCCCTTTGATTTTTCAGATGTTGACTGACTACATCAGTTGACATAGGCCACAAGGATTAGAGCTGACAACCACCATTGTTCTACATCTGAGTTAAAGGTTCATTACAGCCTAAGGAAAAATACATTACTTTATGTGTCGCGCCTTGAACAAGATCGCCATACCTTTTAATGCAATTTAGCTTAAAGTGTTAGCCAGGATGTTCTTTTTTTTGTTTTCTTTAAACATAAGAAAGATAGCAATTTTCATTCAATAAAAATATTGCGATCCTTGGTAAGCGACGCTGTCTGACTGCGCGCATTTATGTATAAAAAGTACCAACTAAAGAAATTGTCTTCCCGTGTTGCAGTGCTGATAAGACTTGTATATGCACCATCAACTATAAACTTTCAAAAAGGATAAAACTCATGATAAAGCAACACCTATCATCTACAAACCTAGTCTGAGAAAACAGCCGACATTTCCCGAGAAATGACGTCTGAGAAACAAGCGCAGAAATTCCATCTTGATGACGTGTCACTACACAGATCCAGGTACTGCTTCTGATTGGATTAGGCATGAATTTATCCAGTCAAAAGCACTACCCAGATCTGGGTAGTGACGTGTCATCGGTATGGAATTTCTGCGCTCGTTTATCAGACGTCATTTCGTGGGGAAACCAGTGGTGGCGTCGCCGCGAAATGTCTGCTGTTTCCTACGGGCTAAGTCAATTTTAGAATCCTACAGCAATACCGCACTCTTGCGGCTCGATCATGGTACTGAAGATTAATGCTTCGTCTAAGTCAAAGGTCTGCCTAAGACGGCTCCGCAGAAGGATAGAGCGACTTTCGTTTGATCAGAGTTTGCGCTTGAAATGATTACTCACGAACTTAACTAAAATAAGAAACAAACAAGGTCAGAAGAATTTGATTGATTTAACGAACAACAGGGTTGCCACTCATCAGAAAGATAAAAATTCCCTGACTTTTCACTGACCTTTTATTAATGAGAAACAATCCATGTTTACCTTCACTTTAGCTTTTTCTGCAGGCCATCGACAGTTTTCTCTTCATTTTCAACCTCTTTCCGCGAGGAAGAAGGAATTTGGAAAAAAAGCATTGACAAGAAAACCACTGACCACAACTACTACATGTGTTAGACGTAGAGTGTTGATCGCTTTGCTTGCTTTGTGGCATACTTGTCGTATTTTCCGATAGAAAATGCATTTCAAAATCTTGAAGAAAACTTGAAAACTTATGAACTATAAAAAGGAAAACAGAATTCCCTGACTTTTCACTCACTTTGACGATATCAAACAAGTTCCCTGACTTTTCCCTGACCTTGAAAAATGTTCGTTTTCCCCTGACTTTTCCCTGACCGTGGCAACCCTGAACAAACACAAACGTGTGTGGGGTTTAGTTAGATTTGCGGACACAGAAAGGCTTCTTGGCTGAAAATAAGATTTCTGAAAAGTAATTTTTCCCCAACGTGGTCGAAGAGAATTGGGCTTCTATTTTCACAATCGCACGACATCTCTTTCGTCCGGGGTTTCTTTGGCAGCAAGGAAATGATTCCTTGACCTTTTAGCTGATAAAAGAAGCGAGAAGGACTTATGGAAACCATTTTTAAGGTCAAACGAAAATCGCTCTGATTTGCTAGTACCAATGGGGCTTAAAGCAGTCGGCACGCGGAAGGCTTCTTCGAGACGTCCTCGACGCCACGGGACTCCCTGGTACGTGTCGTAAATAGTTGTCAGAAAAATTGCTTCGTATCAGACGAATTCACTCTTTGGTTTACATGTCAGAAGCTTCTGCAATTCGGGGTAATATCTGACTGATTTATACCGTTTCCAGCCCGCATGTGGCGCATCTTGGTGATAATAAACAGCTGTGCAGTCGGGATTAACGGCAAAAATAATAGGTCCGCAAATTTGTTTGTTATTGGAAATGCCTCGTACAGTAGCAGACAACTTCAGTGATCCTCCATAAGCACAGCGATCCACGTTTAAATAAAAGTGGTACTTTCCCGAAGTCCCTAAAAGACAAATAAAACAAGAGTCAAATTACAAGTTTGTTCAATGCTATATCATTTGGTGTTACAGGTCCTTCAGTGACACCCCTATATCTATGGGAAAGCGATCCAATAAAAGTAACGCACCTACGGAGGGTGCCCGTAGGGTTCTTATCTAAGCCAAATTTCTTATCTAAGCCAAATTTCGGGCAATCCTGTACATCCCGATGGTTAATTATTTTTGGCATCTCATCTGTCACGCCTACTTTCAATCCAGAATGTCGCCTTGACTTTGCTTTAAAATCCCGAATCTCGAGCTTCCAATAAAGGAAATCCCATATGCAGAAAAAACCTATTGGGGATCCTCCCTACCTTGTAGCAAAAATATTTTTTTCCATCTAGGCGAGGCCTTAATTTGTGGCCGATTGTAGTCAGCACGCCGGCCGAAAGTGGAGCCCTATGTAAAACGGAGGTTTGTCGTTTTAGTGTGGAAAGGCAAAATCTTTGACGTTTTAGCTGAGGACGCTCATGTGGTGGTCGGAAAAAAGGAGCATTGTTCACGACCTTAACGTAACAGCGCACCGAGTAGTACACATGTCCAAAATAGTCAGGGAACGAAAACGTATCGTCAAGGATGCCGGCATTTTCGATGTTTACAGTATTAGTGACAGCCAATTATACGGGGCCTGAATTTCCGCCGAAAACAGGATACAGTCATCGTTTTTCTAAAAGCTTGTGTACAGAACTTCATTTCAGTAGTGGAAAAGTCCATGAAAGATTTTGCTCACACTTCAGTTCTTAGTAGTTATACCTTGCAGATTGGTATTATTCTAAAGTTTTTACCTCATGCTTAATTGATTCAAGACTTCACCGTCATAGCCACAGGGTTAAAAAGAACCTTTTGCCGAGCGAAAACTTCATTTGAAAGTTAACTTTGTATAAATTCAAGAATACTACTATCTAGAATGATACTTACATGTTCTATTGGGGACAATATTATCCAATTCTGGGGACAACTTTCGTTGCAAACCCTCCCATGTAAATTCAATTCCATGAGTAGTGCAACGCTAACAAGACAAACAAATACGATTACTAAACAACTTAGAAAGTGATCATCATTTAAAGTGATATGAACCATACATGCCAAGTTGTTTTGAAATATTGAACTGTCGAATATGTTATTTCCTAGCCTGACAGTGGAGCCTTTGGAGGGATTTTGAACATATAATGTTACGTTGAAGGGCCCTATATGTTTAAGTTTACTGTGCTATGATATTTGCGACAGACGTTTTCAGTTGAGTCGCAAAGAGCTGCTTTTAAGGAATATTAATCATCTTAGGTAGCTCATATATGTAATGAATAAAAAATTTGATAAATAAAACATTTCCCAAGATGTTGCCAAGTTGATTAAAAAATGTTAGGTTTTTTTTATAAAAGTCGACGAACAAGGAAATTTGTTATCTCTGTAGTTTTGCAATTTCATCTACCAGCAAGGAACAAACCACTGTTTACAAATATTACCTGAGTTATGTCACCGTAAGGAATAAAAGTAAAGGTTGCAGTGCCGTCAAGTGAACCTTTTCTGCACAACATGTATCTTAGTGCACTTCCTGGGTAGAGGTATTCCACGAGGAAAAATATGGCCAAACCAATGACAAAAATAAGCACGGTCAACGATAGGCACAGTACTGGAAAAGAAAAGAAAAAAGTTATCGATAAAATTGAAGATTGTCACTGCATGGCCTCGTTGTCAGCGGTATGTTTTAAAAGCTTAGCTGCCACGTCAGGTTTAGGAAGTTGCCGCCATGTTGGCCCTTTTATGTGTGGTTCAGTCATCGGATCTTATCGCCATTCATCGGACATTATTAATGGTAAGAACTTTAAGAACTATAGACAAACGTTATAAATAATATAAATACTATGTTACATCGCCTAATTGCCCTGTCATCTACAACAGAAGTCTTACTGAAGAATGCGCCAAGCTACGTTCAATCTTCTGTCGACTTGATTATCTAATTGGCGTCAATCAGCGGCTTACCCCTGGTGGCCACCCCCGGGGTCGCAGGGGGATTTGTCCAAATGCCCATTCAAACCACATGCCAAATCAAATCCCTCTGGGTATAGGGTAGAGGAATTCTGACAAAACCCCTGCCCCCTGGGTGCAACAATAAGGACCAGTGTTTAACGTACGAATGTACGAATTTTACGCACAAAAACCAGCTATTTGCTTTGCTTAAACCCTCATTTAAATTTGCCGTATTTCAGCGCAGTTGGCTCCACTTGACCAAATAGTTGACTTGTACATGTATATTTTAAACTTTCTTTTGAGGTTTTGAGGGCCGTTATGTGAATTACCGGGTTACCGGGTTACCGGTAATAATGTAGTTTACCCTCGGTAAGTAAAGTTTCTTCTTTCTTTTCTTTTTCTTTCTAAAAGTGGAGAAAAGACGTATGGTTTTTTAGCGCTGTGAGTCCCTGGGATGCACATGAAATTCGGTGAATTGGGTACTACCCAGGATTGGTAGTAGTGGCTGGAGTTCCCATGGAACTCTGCAGGACTCTTATGTTATAATCACCTACGGAAGAATTCGCCAGAACAGCTTTCTTCTTATTTCTATCCGAGCTCCGAGCTACGAGATTTGTAAACAGGCATGTCGACGAAACTTGATTAATTCAAGTCCTAAATCTCGTGCGACAAGGGTGCGAAGTGAACACCTCGAACAACATCCGGGAATCGTTGATAGGGTATACCACTGACCAGCAAATCCCCAGGGTCTGCCCCCCTGGGGTGCAATCTCTATGAACAAAATTTTTGTTCAAAATATTTGAACAAGTAAGCCAGAAATGAAAAACGACGATTATCTGCCAAAACAATCAGAATAGATCTTCCCTTCAAAGGTCAGATGCCGGACCGACGCCCGCAGGCAATTTATACGTTATTTCAGCAATAGGATTGCCCCATACGGCAACCTATTTAATGTGAGAAAAATCTGAAGAAAGACCAAAAGCCGAAAAAACCAACGCGTATTGTTAATCGCTTATAAAATTAGTATACATTAACAAGCACTGTGATAAGCCCGCAGTTTGGGGCCTTGTGTAAAAGCCTGTCAAACCTAGCTCTTATCAATCGTTCGTACTTGGTCTCAAAATTCTTAGATGAGATGGTCGGTTTTGTTATTCCTGAGCTCCTGTAGAATGACCTCTACAACAAGATACAACTCTGCGACAACCTTGTTTGACTCTCTCGAGCCCAGTCATCTTTAGTATAATAATGTTGTTGTTCATAGAACAAACTACAGGTTGAAACAGTTTGAGCGGGTGCGTTTTTATTCCTAGAAAGTTTTGAGGAACTTTGTTGTCGTGCTGGCTAAACCTCACACAGCTTATCAGATACTGTTGTTAGTATAAGCCAGTAATTATTTGGAAATATCAAGTAAGAGGCACGAAAAGAAATTTAGTGTCAAAGCAATTATAAGCAGACAAACTTAGAAGACAGAGGAAAGCCCTTTATCGCGGCACTGCTCGGTTTCTAATATATTTCTACCGATATTAAGGGAGGATCGTTCCGAGATCTTGAAGCCCCTTCACATTTCCACCATTAAAAGGACAAAGTTTTCTCACGATATTTTTATATGACGGCAGAAATAATGACATCGAGTAAAGAAAACATGATTGTTACTCAAAGTATTTACAAAAGGAAACAACAACAAGAAAAACAAACAAACAAACAAAGCCTCAGGTTAATAGACTAGAAGAATAGAAAATGAGGCAGAAACCCAACTTAGCGCAGAACTTACTTTTTCTGTATCTTTGTCGCTCTTTTCGAAGCTTTACATTCATATCCATCTCAAACTGATCGTACATGTGTTCTATTTCTGAAGTAATTTGTTTATCGGTGACTCCTAGTACTATACACACAAAGCATTGCACCATATTCACATCATCAAGTTTAGAAGCTTTCTTCTCTTGCATGGACATGCCCAGTAAAATGCTGCTTCGACTCAGGAGAACGCTGGGTGGCAGGTGAGATTCTGGGATGGCAGTTCCTGGATTCTCGGGATCGACTGTAGCGTATATGCGTTCACCAGCACGAACAGAGCCTATGCACTTGACTTGAATTACTCCAATTACACAAACAACGTCCGTGTCATCTAAAAGGAAAAGGGGTACACCAAATTACACAGAAATTGGTGACCTTCTATGTCGATGTTATGACACAGAGAAATGTATGTATGTGAAATTCACCTGGATTACCCTGTTTACAAATCCTGTTTTTTTGTACTGTTGTTGTTTGTGTCTTAGGGGCTGTTTATACATGACACCGGGGCGACTTTCGCGCCCGAATGAGTTCACTACGGCTCTCTCTCATGGCTCTACATTTGTTTACATGATACCACCACAAAGTGTCATGCCAGCGAGAGTCACCCCGGCGTGAGTTCACCCCGATTGTTGTACCGAGGCGAGAATTTCACTCCGGTGTGAAATCTCGCAACAGTATCATGTAACGACCACACGTTTCGGTGTGAAATCGGTCTGCCGGTAGACTGGAACGGGTAGCGCATGCGTAATGTTTGCGATTTTGAAACTTACGTGTATTTTTTCAACATAAAGTGTACCTTCAAACAACGAGATATGAAATGACCAAGTCAAAATGTAAACGCGATACGAAATAAAAAAGTCATCCAGGTATAAAATTCGCGCGGGTGCAAGTTTTCTCATGTAAACACCCCCCTTAGATCCCCTGTAAACTTTTGTGTTGTGACAATTATTGAGAGAATGTAGGTTAGCCAATTAAAACAGCTCAGCCGATGTATGTTTTCTGTTTCCTCAATGGTGGATGTACGTTATAGATAAACTCACGAGTAAACTGAGATGTAAATGTATGACAAAGCTTTCGTTGATCCGGGTGTAAGGATTAAGCGTTCATAGGTATTTTTGATGTTTGGATGCATCCTTGTAATTTTTTCCACACAACGCCAAAAAAAGACTAATTATTTTTTAAAATGTTCTCCAGCTATTTAGACCTGGATGTTTACTATGTAGCAAAAACTCGTCCTTTGTCATGCATGTCGGGCGCATGCGCACGTGGATACAGGGCAGTTCTTATTCAAAACTGATTAAAAACCGAAGCCGAAGCCAAAGCCAAAGCTAGCCTGCGAACACATCCGTTTCTCCTCGCTCTTCGCCGCTGGGGACGTTTCGCGCGGAGGACAGCGACAGAAATTCCATACCGATGACGTAAAATCTGTCCGGAATCCGGTCAGAAGCGCTGATTGGTCGGCGGAGTAGTTACATTGTTTTAGTTATTGTTTACAAATGACAGACAAAAGACAAAAGGCCACAAAGGCCAAATTTAAACGCAAAGAATCTCTAACAAAACAGTCAATATTTGTGGAATATAGTCTTCTCTAGAGGAAGCATTTGAGTTTTGCTGGCGCTCGTTGGCAGATGAACATAACACTTTTCCAAAATCGACCATAAGACACGTAAAATTGGACAAATTTATATTTGGAACCCCATGACTACCGGATTGATTAAGTAAACATTGATTTGCATCATCAGCATGGAATTTATGTCACTGAGTCGCAGACGTTCCCCGTGCGAAACGTCCCCAGCGGGGAAAAGCGAGTAGAAACGGATGTTTTGGCAGGCTAAGCCAAAGCCATCCTTTTAACCCTTTCGGTAATCGCGAATGAACTCCCCTCTTCCCCCACTCATATTCAGCTGTTGGTTTGAAAAAGCAAAATTAGAACAAACCGTTTTCATTCATGGGTGGTGTGGCCTCCAGATAAGCTGACCGGCTTATGACGCCTGCCATAAAAGCATCCTTTCCATTTTTGTTATCTAATAGCTGTATACTTGAGTGTCCGTCGTCATCCTTGTAGAAACCAACGACATCTCCTTCCTCGAAATCATCACAAGCATTTGGGTCTTTTAATCTAAAGTGATATCCGATGTCCGCTTTCCTATGACCTGCCTCCTGTACCTTGAACGTAAGATGCTCAATGTACGCTCGTTTTGCGTCCAGGTGTTCTATCACTCGAAGGTGTTGGAATTCAGCAGATCCTACAATAGCAATTGATAAAGATAACTATAACGATAATGATAATGATAATGATTTTTACCACAATGATAATTCCATCTGTTTTCTTCCAATTGTACACCAACCAAAGTATGATCAATAGAGGAGAGGATTTCAACGTAGTGGATGTTAAATGGGGTATAGCTTGAGTTAAGTACCACGGCAGTTCACTGCTAAGAGCAATGACACATGTCTAAACTATTCCACTTTTTATTGGTCAAAATAATTAACATGATAGGAATGCTATTGAACGTCTATTAACTATTTACTGACAGTAAACAACAACATCAACAACTCACCCATGAAGCTAACTGAGCTAGTCGGGCTATCCCCTCTCTGTGAGTCTAGAAATAATTAAAAAGAGAATAGAAAGTTAGTGTAAGGTTTCATTAATGGCGAATAACGTCAGCTTTGTCTTGAACTAATTATAAGCGGACTTTCAGGCATGATTGTGAAATAGTAGCGTAGCGAGGTAGTTAAGTGTAGATGTCAGTGAAGAATTGTCAGTGTGATAAAAAAAAAGAAAAATATTTCGCCGTAATAATTAACATAGGTCTTCTGTTTAGTACGACGACAGGCCTGAAGCACAGAAGGCCAAGAATCTAAAGAATGAGCCAATCATTAATGCCGAAACATGATCGCACCAGAAAATTGAATCGCTACCTTTTCCGTAGGAAAACCAATCAACTAGGTTTACCGTTCAAGCTGCCTCTTTGCACAAAAAATAGTCGCTGACTCAACACTCTTCAGCTCTTTCTCCAGCCATCTTCAATTTTAAGAAAAAATCAGCCGACGTGATCAAACTTACCTTCCTCCTCGTCGCTGCCTCCTAAAATAACAAAAGGGAAAGAAAAATAAGTAAAAATAAAGGAAATTCTAGACTCACTTCCTAATAAGAAATTGGCCAAAGCCGAAAATACCATGATATTCTTTAATTTCCCATTTGGGTGGTGCTTCATGTAAAGACTTTTGCAATACCTTTTGTGCTCTGCACGATTTGCACGTGCAATGCATACACTGCTCGTGTAGTTCATACAAAAAACTTAAGATAATGCACAGGTGAGGTTTACATGAAGCCCCACCCAAACGGCAATTTAAAGAATATTGTGGTATTTTCCGCTTTGGCCAATGGACCTTTTTAGTTTGTATGTTTTGTTTTTTCTATTTCAGACCACGTGATGGTTCCCCAGAGAACTGTTTCTTTCAAATGTCATTATATGCACGTGCATATGTATGCATAATTTATGAAAAAACAGAAGACAAATTCCTTGGAGAACATCACGTGGTCTGACTGATTGAAAAAACAAAACTTACAAGCTAAAAAGGTCTATTACAACAGCGCGGAACGTAGCTTATAATCTGAGAAGCTTGAATAGTTCCAAATCTCGTTTAAAACTGTAATTTTTTTTAACATAAATACTATTCAAATGACATCTCGCTCACGAGGGTTTGGCTCAGTCAAAACATACTCCAATAGGATGGTTCACCACTGTTCTTAAATGCTAGGTTTGAGTTACAAATAAGTACAACGCCATTCACATAAGGTCTCCTCCGAATATCAAAGCTGAAGGAGACTAAAGCCCAGTTACAACGTCTAAATAAGTACATGAAAAAATCGACGCTTGAATCAATTAAGTCTGACTGTCGAATTTGGGCCGACCCATTAATTAAAGTTGAGAGGCCTACATTGGAATTTCGACTGAGGGGTGACATCGTTTCAAACGTCGAACTTTTCACGCGCCAAACCTAATGCATAAATTACTATAATTTATTTTCACCGGTAAACATTGTAGACGGCACGTACATCGTGAAAATGAATTGAGTCCGACTAATTAAGTTCGACTTCTGAATCAACGGTCGAACTGTTATCATTTGGGTCGACCCAAACAGCTAGAACTTGGGTACATGAAAAGTTCGATGTTTGAACTGGGCCTTTTGTCTCGACTTTTCTTGCTTTGAAAAGGCTAGTATGTAATTCAAGTGATTTGCTAGCTCATACATAAGGTTTCTTTTCCAGTTAGTTACTCGCACCAGAATACACTACCATCCTAGGCCTCTTAGGTTACTGAGACGAGAACACTGGGTTCATACTTACCAGAAAGTTTGCGTTTCTTGTTTTTATTCGGTTGATCATTTCTGGGTCTGCTCCTCATCATGAATGGCTTGCTGTAGAACTGTTGCGTTTCTTCGTCAAGTCCGTTGTGAAACGACAGCTCGACTAGCAACTGAAAAATGTTCCTCTTATCCATTTCCACTTTAGCTAATTGGTACACTGGAGCAAAGGGGCCATCATAAACGGAGTCCAAGTTCACAGAGAAATAATACTGCAAAACAGCAAAGGACCGAATTGAAATTGGAAATGGGATCCCTTTCATACGTATCTACTGGACAGTGATTCGGTGGATAGCGCTATGCAGCCTTTGAATATCATCGGGGCCAGAAAAGTTTATTGTGATCATGTTCGAAAACAATGCAATGCCAGAAAGCAGCAAGCACCGCCTAACTGTGGGTTTTAGGAAATCTCTTGGGGATCAAATAATAAATTTGCTCTTCAGAAAAGTGTTTCTTGTCTAAGCTTTACTTCTCCTGTGCACCCGTTTCTTAATTGAAAGGTTGTAAGTAGTCCTTGAGTCTTTTGTGCTTACTAAGTTTGACCAGCTTGGTAGTTGTCAAATTGACGAAATACTGAGAGATGGCAAAACAAAACCACGCAGATGCTGTCTCTTCACCGCTGGGGAACACAAGAGGACAGAAAGCCTACTGCAAAGGAAACAAGAATTAATATGGTACCTTTTCGATATCGTGTCTTCCATGAATGACCTGAAGTTCGACGGGTCCGTTTTGATCTTGGTGAAGTTTTGCCGCTGATGGCTCCCGGAATACCCAAACTTTTATTCCCAGGATTTGTCCCACTGGGGAGCGTGCTTCCATCTGCACCATCCCATCTGGAACTCGCTGTTTTGCTACGCCTCCACTCCTGGACTGTACTTTATCAAACACGGTTTTTTCCTCTAACGTCACAAATCGTACTTCTGCTCCACCTTGGAAATCTTCGCTTCCAAAGGACCCGATAGGGAGAGGCAAGGTATCTGGAATAAAAGTTAAAATAGCCTTTTCACAATACAATCTGATTGAAAATCAGGGTGACATTGATTGATAGTCAGAGTAACTACAGCTTCCAAATCTTCGCTTCCAAAGAATCCGGTATGGAGAGGCCATGGTATCTAGAGGTCATTTGGATAAAAATTACAATAGCCATCTCACAATTTGATTCAAGGTCAGAATAACACCGCCTTCAAATTTTCGCTTCCAAAGGACCCGGTATGGAGAGGTAAGGTATTTACATGCAGGTCATTTGGATAAAAGTTACAATAGCTAACTTTTTTAACAATTTGATTGAAAGTCAGAGTTATATACACCCTCCAAATCGTTGCTTCCAAAGGACCCGATATGGAGCGGTAAGGGATCCACCGGTCATTCGGATAAAAGAGTTACAATAGCCACTTCACAATTTGATTGAAAGTCAGAGTAATACTGCCTTCATGTGACAATGTTTAGCCATGTCCCAATTTTACTCAACGAGTGATATGACTCCTGTACTTAAGTAAGCTGTACAGAAAGCTCAGCACAGGTTCAAGCCTTAGAATAGATCGAATGCTCGCAAGCTCTTTGCCTGACATCGTAAGAACATGATTGACCGAATAGAGAGACTAGTACGTTTTTGCACAACAGCCTTGAGGATTGCGTCATGAGGTCACCAGTTTAACACGCTTGTTACATTTAAAGAAATTATAATTTATGTATTTGCTGCTTAGTTTAAACAAAACTCTCACATCCGTGCCGTCTCAAATAGAAACAGAATCCTCAAGAAAGAAATATCAGTAGATAGGTAGTAAGTGTCAATACAGATACCATTTCGTATTGTTCACACAGTTTTATCAAATATGACAAATTTGTCATCAAGGTCTTTTGGTTCAAGTCATGCCACACAGCACTGAAAAAAAGATATGTATACTGATAAAACTATAATCTCCTCTCTTACGAGAGCAAAAAAGATGCGTCGATCCTTCAGACAAGTCATGCACTATAAATCAATATAAACAAACGTTTATGACGATTATGGATGATCTAGAGATCGAAGCTGTTTTACCAAACCTCGCCTTACTGTCGGACTGGTTTATTTAACAAACATCCACCTAGCTTCCGCCTCTTTTCTTTTTCCCTTTTGTGCATATGGATATCAAAACGGATGGAACAAATCTTGCAAAAAGAATCTAGTTTCCTGATTTATTTGCCCCTTTAGCGTGTTACTCCAAAGAGTCACTTTGCCACGTGATTTGCACATCAGAAACGAAACAAAACAATGTCAAAAAGTACCTAGTTTTTTGCAGCCTAAATATCTTGACGCCATAATTTATCCCGTGTTGTCATAAAACGAAGCAAACTTGGTACGTGGAAGTCATCATTACATGGCCAGTGGCCTGTCAGTGGATCTTACCTACCCAACTTGCCATGCAGCTTGTTGACTGAATGGTTCAAATGCAAATGAATTTTACTAGAAATTGCAGAGACTGATAAACTTTAAGTTGTTTTAATTTCGTGCCAATACACCAACTGAAATGTAAGCCAGTACTGTTACAGAATTGCTGCGGGAAAAATGTGCTTGTTGCAGCATTGGCGGACCGAACGTAACCCCCAAGTACTTTACTGGAGAAATTTTAATGATTTACGTCAAACTTTTCTCATTGTATTCCCCGAACATCTCCCACAGGTTGACTTTGCTACGCCGGTATACCAGCAGAGTATTCCTTATGTAATTTAACAACCTTAAAGTGGAAACACAGTTTTTCATTTTTAAAAATGAGTTAACTGATATAATAAACATTAGGGTGTGCACCAATAGGAACTTGGTGCACGATACCAGTATTAATAATAATTGAAAAATACGTCACTTCAAAGATTATGAAGAAGTTTAACACGATAATAATTCAACCTTTGGCATATCCTGTGGTAATAGGCCCTTTGCAGCTTTGTCATTTACGCGGAAAAAGACTACCATCCTGTAGAACAAGAATCGCGGTGGGAGAAAACAAACAAAGAAAACGACCATTTTAAATGATGTAAGCTTTTTTTTTTTTTTTTTTTTTATTCGCCCCTGGTCCTCCCCTATTGGTGTTTTGTACCCCGGCTTTTTTTTTTCCGTTTTTTTTTTCAAATTTATGTTTTTTAACATCCCCAGTAGAAATAAAAAATCAATAACAAAAAAAAATAAAAAATATAAATATTATAATAAAAAAAACCTTTTGCAAATTTGTTGTATAATAAGAAAAACAACATCATCCTTTTGGACAGAAAACGGGGGGTGAGAAAACTAATAAAGAAAACGACCTTTTTAAAAGATGTAAACTTTTTTTTTTTTTTTTTTTTTTTCATGCGCCCCTGGCTCTCCAGTATTGCGGTTTTGTACCACGGCATTTCATTTCACGATTTTCTTGGCAAAATTCAAGTTTATACACTACCCAGGAGGGCAACTGTTTACGCGTTCGGGGCATTGACGTCATTCGTCCGAAAGTGAAAGAGATGACGTCAGCAATATCCAAAAATAACATGATTAATTTAAAACCCGGAAATAAAACAATATGACATGTAATTCTTTTCTCACTGAATATTTTAGCATCGCGAGTACATGATATGTAGTCAAGTGAAATTTGTTTAAGGTTTGTTTTGGTTTCTACTGTTTCAAAGACTGAGTTTAGTACTTAAGGTAATTAAAGGGTTAACTGAAAAAAAGAAAGAAAAGGCAAAATAAAATATGCCTAACAAAACACAATCTTGCTTCTTTCTTACCAAGACTGATTGACAACCACCATTCAAAACTCACCGAAGCATTTCTCTTAAAAAATAAATGAAAAAAAACAGCCGAGCCAGTATCTTGCACTAGGCTAAAATTTACATAAAATGGAACCCCATTTAAAGAAAGGGAATCATTCAGATGAAACAGTTTTCAACAAATACTCACTTGCATTGCATTTATTTGTATTTAATTTTGTTTTTATTTAAGTTTATATTATGCGCAAGAACCTGTAGAACTTTTATCCACGGACACAATATCCAGACTTGTCAAAGAAAGAGTAATAACAGCAAAGCAACGGAATGATACTACCGATAATAGATGGCTGACGATTGTTTGCAGTACAACAATTAGGGTTAGTTATCAGAATTTTTTCACTACTAATGACTGCGGGAACATAATTTTTCTCTTTGAGGGCCAGTCACTCATAAAACTCAATATTTACAATCCGTATGTTGGCACACGCGGGCGTCAACAAGGCGGCTTCTTCCTTTGCTGCTGACATGATATGCATCACCGCTTAATAAACATAACGCAAGGGGGAGAGGAACTGAACCGAAACAAAAACGTACCCTGAGGGGGAAGGGGTGAAAAATACAAAGAAACTTGATTTATTTTAACTACATACAGGAGCCATATTTTCTTGGTGTTAAAATGTTAGTATGTGGGACGATGTTTTGGACGTTTTCTGAACCCACGATTTGAGACGACTTCATGGAGTCAGCATAGGCAAGAACCCATACCCCTGCAGACCTATGGCATGAATCAGTTTCGTTTTTGAATGCAACCGAAAAGTTCATTAGTATGACTTTGAGCAAAACAGAAACAAACAGCAAAGGCAGTGAACACTAATAACACTCTTAATCATGCTGTGCTAACGTTTGACAGTTGATGTAAGGAATAGTGTTTTCTTTTAATGACGTCATTATAACCCGGGGGGTACTCAACAAATGTTTATACGGGGAGGCTCCGCCACGGGGTCCAACCCCTTACCCTTTATATACCATTTTTCACGAAGAAGGAACCCCTTCGTATACCTTCTATTAACAAATGGTACCCCTTTCACATACCTTGTTTAGAACTATGCATCCCTTTTAACTGCTGTAAATGCACTGTCTTTTAAATAGGAATCAATCACAAAAATAGAACGTTTTCTCGACTTTATAGAGCCATAAAATTCATCTGTTAGCCCTTTTGGGCCCTTTAACAGACCCAAATGACAGATTTCCCTACCCTTGTATATACTTCAACTACTGAAATCCCTACCATTTCGTATACCTGAAGCCTGAAAGAGATACCCCTTGAGGGCGAAGCCTCCCCCGATAGGCCATCATAGGAAGTACCCCCCGGACATTATAATTTGCCCATTTACTCTGCCTAAAGTCAAATTAATTTTATCCGTATCGAATTTGTACTTTTTAAAATTGAGACACCGTACCCTAGCTTGGGGATGGATTAAGAATGCTATAGAGACTATTCAAGTCGGATGGGATGATGAGGTCAGCCAAGCTGAACCGGAATTAGATATACGCATTCCAAATTATTTCCGAAGGAACAAAAGCATTTCAAGTCATAAGCTTTCACTTTTGCGGTTATTTGTTTCGCTGATTTTAAGGAGCAAAGTTTCGCACGGTTTCGCTCATATCAGCCGTTGATCGACTAGAATTCCGGATCGACTGAAATAAAATTCCTTCCGGCCACGGTCTACTAACTGCAGCGATATTTGATGTTTTGATAGCGCTTCTAGCTCAGGATAGAAGCCATAAAAAAAAACAAAACAAAGAAAACTTAAAAAATTAGTTATGAAATAAAACGAGCGAAGCGCCATTCTTCTTTAACGTTTCTGTGCCAGTAATGGCATCCATAATTAACAAACTTCCTGATGGAAACGAACGAAGCCCACTTTGTTTCAGCATGATCTGTACCTCGACTCACTGGGAATTACAACGACGTTTTCAGAGTTAACATTTACCTCTATCGTAATTCGATTCTATGGCAAGAAATCAAGGTACTACCAGAGCTCCTAATGCATGACAGCAAAGCTTATTTGCTTTACATAGAAACTGAACCCGAAACAGCCCAATATTTTGTTTTCTACGATCTCTGATCAGTCGTCAACCTGAATGAATCAAAGCAACTCAGCTACGGTTTTATACAGTTGCGCTGATAGCGTTTAAACTTGGCCTATTTCTTTTCAAAAGCAATAAAAACGCAGTTTAAATTACAGCTTTACTTGTTTGAATAATTAATCAATCGTTGACGTATCAATCTACCTTACCATAAGGATCATCAGAGTCCACTGGATTTGCAAGAAGAGGTTCTGTCAGTTCTGCTAAAGTCGCCCGTCTGCCTTGATTAGCCATCGCTGTTTTTTGCATTACGGTTGTAAATATCTGTCTGTACTTTCGAACCCTTTCCCCTGAGCAACGAAATAATATATCAGACTTGCCTCAAAGCAACAACGGTAACGACAAAGTCAGTCGATTTCCTGAGTTAAAGGAGGGAACTTTGACATGCTTGAGCAAAATCTTGGCTATAAAATAGTCTACACGGGTATTTCCCTTCAGTCATGTTAATTGGCGTTATCCCTGAGCAATGAGGTCATTCGTCTTCCTGTTTGATCAATACGTTTTTGTAACGCACTCTCGTGGCTTCACATTTGTCACGCACTAAATTACGTATGCAGTTCCCCTGCTCGTCACGTTCAGCAACGAAACAACAACAAATTATTTGAAAAACAAAACAAAATAGAACAAAAACTAGAGAATGGAAACTTGTTGTAAAGAAAAACTTGTGCTATCGATCTTTAGTGCTTAGAAATACGTTCGTAGGACCGAACGTAGAGAAGGCTTGAGGCAGTTTGCGGTCTGCGGTTTGGGCAATCAAAACTTTGTTGAAATTGCTGTTGTTAATCTCAATGCGGATATTTCGAAACGTGCGGGACGTGATGATGCCTTTAGCTTTTAGCTCCACTGTTGTCTTTTCTTTCTTCGCCAATATCGTGCACTAAGTGCCAACAGATGTCTCAAATGAACAAAACCGTAAAAAGTGAAAGTTCTAACAGTCTGTGCGGCTTGAAACCTGAATGTAATACAGTCGAACCTCCATGTGCGATCACCTCTCGTAAGCAACCACCTCCCATAAGCGACCGCCAATCCAAAACACCAAAAGTTTCCCCTTCAAAGCCTTACAGTTGGAGTCTCTAGTAAAAGACAGGGCTCGAAATTAACGCTCGCATTAACTCGCAAAATGCGAGTGATTTTGATACTCTGCGGGTGAGAAAAATATCCATTAGCAAACGTTTGCGAGTTAGAATCATCCATCTCTCCCAAGCAAAGGGAGAGAATTTGTTAGTGGTCTCACCAGTTTGCTAGTGGAAAAAAATGTTACTAGCAAAACTTTGCGACTGCACCTATCCCGTAGTCAATGACCGTTGGGACGCCACGTACATAGCAACCCTCTCCCTCCATTAAATTTTGTTTTGAGCTTTTCTTACGGCGTTGCAAAACTTCAACCCCGTCCACTCACAGATATTATTGTCCCAACGCTTCTTTTGTCGGCCCCTTCTTCTCCCTCCTTGCACTGTTCCTTGTAAAATTTTCGTGGCAAGCCCTGATGATCTTGATACATGTCCAAACCACTTTAACTTGCGTTTCTTTACTGTGGTTAAGATATCATCATAGGGCTGTCTCTGACTGCATCGTTAGTGATGTGATCTCTGTATGAGATGCCAAGCAGTTTCCTAAAGCATCTCATCTCAGTGGCCTGCAATTTCTTCAGGATGTCCGCTGTCAATGTCCAGGTTTCGCAGGCGTACAATAGTGCTGAGATAACCAGGGAGCGCATTAGTCTGATCTTTGAGCTTAAAGAGATATGCTTATCGTTTCAGATGATCTTCAGTCTCGCTAGTGCTGCTGTTGTCTGTTCAATTCTGGACAGTACTTCAGGCTTAGAACCCTGATCTGTGACGACTGCGCCCAAATACTTGAAGCTGTCAACCTCGTCCAATTTTTCACCGTTGATTCTGATGTCAATGCTGATACCATTCGCGTTATTGCTCATCCGTTTGGTCTTCTCTGCACTGATTTCCATGCTAAAGGCCGCAGAGGTCTTATCCAGGCGATCCACCAGGGAGGCTAGATCCTCCTCTTTTCCTGCCAGGCCAGTCTTCTATGTCACCATTAAGGTAGACTGAACTAGTGGCCTTTCTTGGGAAGGGTGATGATAAGAGACTGGGTCCATGGCATGGGCTGTCTGCCAAATCTTATTGCAGATTTTATGCAAGACACTTATCACGGCATCTCCTCCTGCCTGTACCAGCTCTCCCGGGAGCTGCTTCGACCTCTTCCCGCAAGATTGGGTAGTTGTAAGTGTCGGTAACTAGTGGGACAGTCAGCACCTCAGGGTCGCCTACTACTGCGTGGCTGTGTGCTAAACGTTGTAAGTGCACTAAAAAGTTAACTTCGAGCCCCGAAAAGACCACCTCCTGTACCGCGACCACTTTTTGGGCCTGACGGTTTATGATTTTCCATTGTTTTTAAGCGACCACTTGACGCATTCTCTAATCTCTACGTTCGCTGTGTGAACTATGCTACTTAGAATATACAAAGAACTTAAGTGACAACATGGACCTACACATGTCGTAACTTAGACATTGCATGCAATAAATTATCTTCCTTAAAGTAGATGTGCCTGGACCTCTCCAGGAAGAGGCCCCCTGTAGTTCGATTCTTGTAAACGACCACCTCCCGGGGTAAGCGACCACTCACTCTTTGCATTTTGGGTGGTCGCGGGAGGTTCGACTGTGTCTGAACAAGTATATTGGCCTGTTCTTTTTGGTGTCTATTAAATAGGTCTATAAAAGAACGTGACCAATATCCACTCTGGTTGGTTAAAAGAAGTTATACTGTACCAAAGTATTTAAGATCATTTATATGTTCCCATGTAAATCAGATCAGTTCTCACGCAATTCTAAAGCATGAAAACTTGCCAACAACAAAGTTGCGCAGCCGTTGAGAAACGGCCGTGAAGTAAATAGTTGTATTAAAAGAAAAAAAATTGGCTCACTTATCGGAGAGCCGCACATGCCATGAAACAGCCAGATTGCAGTGTGCGTACATATTGGAAAGAAGACAGCCGAGCTGCGAGCATGCATCCGTCATCATGCATCAGTTCTGGTCAGCTCTGCAATTTTCATTGGGCACTAGATTGCCCAAAAATCCTTGGTTTTGCCATGACAAGATTCCTTGTTGACTCAAGGGCAAATTTTCGTTCTCTCCAGTGACAACTTCAACTTGCAAACTGTTTAGGCCATAACCAATAGGCTCCTGTTATACTGTTGTTGTTCTTGTTGTAGTGAGTGTTTTGTTCTTGTTGTTGGTCGGGGGTAGTTTTTTTCAACAATAATGTTATTATTTGATAGAAAATGTTTCCTTAATCTGGCCAATAATTCTTTCTATAACCATCTGGCGCTTACCAAATACCGAAGATGCAGCCACTGTATAATGCCAATATTCTAAAATCACAACCCTGTTCCCAGGCCTCAGCGGCGCGGCAGCCCAGCTGTTCTGGCATAAGTGCAAAACTAAAGGGAATGGTTAAGGAGTTAACGGCTATCCCAAGACAAGACAGAAATACCTGAAAGGTTCCCGACGCAGTCAACGAATGTGCGATCTGCTTTTTGTGGAGCATCTGCAGGGAGAAAACATCTGTTCACATTTTGAAACTGTGCCGAGAAACTGGAAATGTTCTGTAGGAAGTCTACGAGGAGGTAAGGGTGTTTTCAAAGAACTTTGAAATATTTTGAACAAATAATAATAAAACAATTCTATTGCAGACACGAAGGCTTTCATCCACTCCAACTGCGCATAGTGCTACGCATAATCTTCATATCAGACTCTGTGTCATTTGATTGCTGGTTTTCACTGTCACGCCATTTCAAATCAAAACCGTTTTAAAGATAGAGTTTAGAATCTGAGAAATGAAAAGAAATAAATATCCTAAGATCCTCGCCAAGATTCAGGTCAGTACAATCTTTCATGTAAGATATTCTGACATATGGTTTACCTAATATATATGTATGGAGAAACCATGTGGGTACCCATATTGCTATGAAAGCGTAAATTCATCTCTCGAGGAACTCATAAACAGTTAAGTTATACTTTTCCTAATACAATGAGTCTTCATAATTATAGCAAAATCCCCCAAGTAAGCTTTCACTTTTTAAACCTTATGGCCTTAAGACAGCTCTCTGCGACCGCCAGCCGCATCACAGGAAAGCTTAGAGATTCAAGTGTACTGCATCCCAAAACGAGGAACTCTTTCGAAGTGAAAATTCGTCTGATTGTTATTTTTAGCTGCTTTAATACTTGATGAAAGTAAAAACACAGGAGGATCGATAATTCTTTAGTTTGAATTATTTGTTAAATAAAATGCGTGTTGACACGGTTTAACTTCTGTTAATCTGTTTCCAGAACGTTATAAGGCAACACAGCGTTTTGGAAAAGAGAGAATAACCGTGACAAGACAAACCATGGCAGACGGAATCACTGGATCAAGAAGAAGGAGTATCCAAAGATAACAATAACCACAATATAAAACCTTTTGAAATTCTACTATTAAGGCATTAAAAGTGGTGGCTTAACTTCAACCTACTTCAAAATTAAACTCTGTGCGTGGAAGTAGTATACTATTTTATTTATACCATGAATGTTCAGTGGTCACTCCTCGACAAAAAACGGATTCAACCTTCCCCCCTCCACTACCCTCCACTGCGGCAGAGAAATAACAAGTCTTCTACAAGACTATAAGCTGCAAAAGTATTGCAGACTGGAGGAAACGTGCCTGAAGACGCACAAACCTACAAACGTTGTCCCACGCGATGCATTTTCATCTTTTACTATATAGGATTTTTTTTTTTTCACGAGTCACTTTATAGCTTCGTTTAACCACAGTTTGAATTTAAAAATCGTATGGAAAGTTTTATTTTTCGAACGATGGGGTCAGAGGCAAGAATTACATCAAATACGACACGCAGTGTTTATCCGATATCCTGACAACGAGAAGTGGAAGAATTGCAACCGATTTAAAGGTGCCCGGATGTCGGATGAAAGCTGTGTGGAATGGTTGATACTGAGCTACTCAAAATAACAAAAAATTGTTGGGGAAATTCAACGCTAAACTTCCTAAAACTTGAAGCGAACAAGCCAGAGGCTACAATTTCAATTTTATGCGGAAGATCGTTTGATCGACGTAAAAAATTCTTAAGTACAGAAGTAAAAAAACCTTTTCACCACTTCATGAGTCCACTCAGTTTAAGTTTGCAGTTTTGTTAAGAACAAGGACTTTCATTGAAAAAGAAAACAGTTTTAACACTTTTTCGAACTGAGTTGATTTTTGCCGTTTACAACGTACTATATAATTTGGTAGGAATAATTGGTTGCCATGTTGGTGTCCCAAACAAATCCTGTATAAGTTTTCTTCTAAATTTTGTTTGGGTAGACCCCAAAAAAATTTAGAAGGGTTTGTATGGAGTTTTCTAAGCATAACTGGACTACTATCTCAGAGACAATTTGCCCCCAAATGCTCATCTTTGGCAAGTAGGCCTCTTGGACATTGTTCTTTCAGAATATCCTGACAAATCCCATAATTTCAGAAATTTCATTTTTATGACGTCATCACTTTCGTACTCTATACAAACGCGTCCATTGGTTCCAATAATTTTTCATAGATGCTGAGTGATCGAAAACGCTCTATACTAGCTTCGTCCCCAGGCCAGTTCGTTCTTAACAGATGACGTCTCATCAGAAAAGGACGACTGGCGGCTACTGAAAGTCAGTATAAAACAGAAAAAAAATCCTTTAAACTTAAACAAACCTGAAACAAACAAAGACAGAGATTTGTTTCGCAAATATTCCAATTGTTTTTTTCTGTTGGCAAGAGTTCGTTCTGTGTAGCCTTATGTTCAAATTGCAGTCTCCCGCTTAAAGAAACTATATTTTCTAAAAATTCAACATGATTTAACCCTCGTGGTACAAGGGGGGGGAGGTGTATGGAACCCTCCCCGGAGTTTTTGATATGTTGCAGTATTTCGAAACGATTTAACCTTTAGTGGAAAGCCTTTGATCTTCTCTACAAGTTGAGGTATATTTTACGGGAGGTGGCGCTGCTGGAGGCTTGTGACGTCATCAACAATGGTCGCCATCTTGGATTTTACCAAGAATTAGCAATCAGGTTAAAACCGGGAGAAATATTAATATTTTTGTGCTTTACATGAAAAATAACACATAAATAAGCACTATTCATGATTTTAGCCACAAGATTTACTTTTATTGTTGAAAGAAGTTGAAAAAACATGTATTTTCACCTAAAAATGGCTTGAGCACCTGCTTCTTACGACGTCATATCTCGTAACCATAGCAACTGACCACCACTGAACTTGTATTAAAAAAGTGCGCGAGGGATGAACGAACAGCTACTGAAAACGTCTAGTACTGATGTTTTATCCTCTAGGAAAAAACGCAGAAAAACCTTAGTGGGGGGCGAGGGGGGGGGGGGCATATCCTCTCCCCGCCACCGGTTGTACGTCCGAGGGTTAAGAGTTGCAATATCTTCTCGGTGTATATATTGGCTACGACACTTTGGAGGGAAGCGTCCGAACTCTTTTTGGCGGAAGTTTATCGTTCGAAAATTTTCCATCAATAGATTTTCGTGTTTGGATTACGTTAAACGAGAGATAACCTTTTTTGATCACGATACCTTTTTCAGCTTTCGCTAGTTGGGCTCGCTGCCATGGAAACACAATAAAATCATGAGAAGAACACGCAGTCAATTGTGCTTCTCATTGTTACCATAATAGGCCTTTTGCAATAGTTGACCACGTGATCAACTTCTGTGAAAACGGTAAATTTTGTTAGCAGGAACTGAAAGAGCATATTAAAATTAGGTTACCTGCTAATTTTCAGCTGTATATATAATTATATATCTTAAAAGTAGCGATTGCAACGGCCGACGAAAAGCTAAGTAGAAGGATTTGAATGGGAAAGCAACTCTTGAAAATTACAGGTTACCTAATTTTAATATGATCTTTCAGTTCCTGCTAACAAAATTTTCCAAAAGCGAACTGTTTTCGTGTTGAGTTGATGACGTGATCAACTATTGCAAAAAGGCCTATTGTTAAATGAGCCGGCACTTCTTTCACCTGAAAGCGAACAGAAACCACAAAAATAGATCTGGAGTCAAAACAAATGCCACGAGGCCGAGCTGTTTCGGTTTCTTCTTGGATTTTATTGTTCACCATCCTTAATTTTCCCCACCCCACCCTCCAGTTTTAAGTGGCCAAATTCAATTAACTTGAAACAATCAATTGAAAACGTCCAACCGAAACCGAAAAAAAAAATGTAGCTTTGATCATTATCTTCCTATTGATCTGACGTCATTAGTTCGCTTCGTACCTGACCTCTAAATATATATTGCTGAAGAATATGTTTTTGTATGTTTTGACGAGGACCGGACGGATAGAACACAGTGTGCGTGGGTACTACTGAGTGCATCTGGAGTCAGGCAAGGATGCAAGTTCCCGCACGTTTGGAGGATTAATCAGTTACTCAATCTATTGAGAATCAGAATGTCTACCAAAAAATTACGAGAACTACAAGAGAAACTATTGCGACCTCAAAATGGCGGTAAGGGTGTAGCAAAGAAATTTCTTAAACCTTTCTACTCCCAAAGGTGGCCAATGTTAAAATTCAGCAAATGTTCTCAATTTCATTTTGTGAAGCGCTAAAACGCAATAGTACCGTGCGACAGTATCGCCAAAGGCGTTTCCACAGACCCAAACGTTAGAACCACAAGACTCTTTCATTCACCCTGGCAGTGAAAGGTGACAAGGCCATAGTTCCCTTCTTAAAGCACTTTAAATATCACGAGATTAAATGAGGAAACTGCCTGCTACTAAATTACGATTTAAGCCAGAATACATAAACTGAGCTGTAGTTACTTCCTTACTTAGATTTGAAAATATGACTTCGAGCTGAAAGTATAGTGCGGTTCAGTATTTGAGGTTTTAGTTATTTTTACCTTGTCCAACGCCTATGAGCTTCGGTTTTCAAGCAGGCCCAGGAGCTCATAGCTAGCTTATCATCCTGGCTGGCCGGAGTAACTTAAGTCGAAACAAATTCAAGTCCAACTCACCAAATCGCAAAGATATTCAGTTCTATACAGTATCTATGACAGTCACTGGCAGACGTACGGAAAACTATGGTGTATTACTAGGGTGGCCTCTAACGGTCATCGCGCATTAGACGATCTCGCCAACTCCTAATGATTCATGTCAGCATACTCTTTTATACTTAGGTGCGCTTATTTCCTTAATTGAAGTACAAAAATAAGCCTTAAACCTGAAGGGTTGCGGTCGGTTATATGAGGCTTTGAGTTCAGTAATTTTTACCTTGTGAAACACCTAAATGCTTCAGCTTCTAAGCTTTCTGGAGTAATTTAGCTCGACAAATTTCCAAACCTAAATCATCAAAACGCAACTGGCGAACTTTACTACGCAGATTATATCTACCGCACGATATCTACAGTCACCTACGGGCAGCTGTATGGAGAAGGTGGTCGGACTTTTGACGATCTCACCGACCTCATCTTACCGTCCTGGTCTACATGTTGTTTGATTTGAAATAGATTAAACGTTTGAGCGCGCTATATTCAGACTACCAATGCAAGTAAAGTAGAAATTGTCGAGTTTCTCCTGAACAAGTTGCGGAAGAATTGCGCCGAGATCGCTAACTACAATCGTTGAAGAGTTGTTACTACACAATCCGCGAAGGCAATTGGCGCAGATCATAAACCGAGGTATCAGTCTTACCCTGATCAAAGATTCATTCTTAAATTATAAAACTCAGCATCGCGGAACAATCAAAGTTGCTAATTTTTAAATCAGCGGACTGTCAATCAGGCTACAATTCACAAAAGAGAGATAAGGAAACTACACTCTGACTTAAAATAAGAACTTTAATAGTTATGTTTGCATATTCGTTTTGCTTACTCTCCTTAATAACACACTATTTGTTATTAGTTGGCTTTATATTGTATTGTATTTCGCATAACTGAAGTTTGAATGGGTCAGTTTTGCATCCGGATGGAAAGAAGCGGATGTCGTCTTTTAGGATCGATAGTAAGTAAAAATGTATTTTCCCTTGAATATAAGGAAGGGACGGTGGCTGCGTGACATACTTCAGTCATGCAGAAAACTGTTTTTCATATGATACTTTATCAGTTCCTCATCATGGCCCAGGATGAGGAATATCTTTCAGATCACTGAACAACTGTTTCTGATTCACAAAATCACTGCTGATCAGGAGGACTTTTATTGCTACACCTAGCATTTACTCGGGTCGGCTTCCGCTATTGGCCTGCTCAGTCGGAGAAAGAAAGTCATCAAGTCTACAGCGTGATGTGGCTAAGATGGACGGTCGTGTGTTTGAGTGCTCCGCGTAACATCTCGTAAATTTCTAATGTTTAAGTGTTCCTTCTTCTTTCTTCTATTTGTTTGGTTATCTTGTTTCGTGTGTCATATTATGCTTGAGTGTAAATCGTTATGTACTTGCCTTGTTTTATGTTAGTTTAAATTCTATTTACTGTGTAGTAGTGTCTTCACTGTTATTTAGTCCATCAATCTTGTTTTGAAAGACGTCTTCAGCTCCCCCCGCCTCGATTAGCTTATAAGCTATTTGCGGGCGGGAAAGTAATGTAATTACTTATTTTCCAATTTTCAATAAAATTTGTTGTTTGTTTTGTTTGTAGCGTGGCCGATGTGGTGCGTGGCCACAGACGGAATTAAGCAATAAAAATGGCAATATTAGTAGGTCTTAGTTGCTGTAGCTTAGTTCATCTTGCACCTCTACAAGCCGGTGGGTCTCAATGGGGTGTTGGTTCTAAAGTTGTAATTCGATCCCATTCACTCCTGGGGAATTTTGCCGAACAACGCAATTTGAAGTTCAGGTCGAGCTGTTTCCTGTTTCCTGTATGCCTGGCTACAAAGAGCTAAAACTTACCAAAAAGCCGTTTACAGGTCTTGCACTTCGTGGTCTTCTGTTTTAAAGATGCCGGTCCATTAAGGATCTTGAATGTAAACTATGCCTAGTAGGAAGATACAATATAAGATGCTCTGGTGGGCAGTGACATATACAATCCTGAAGACCAGTTGAAAACTTTGGAATCTCTTGCGATCCTTTAGACTCTGTTAGTGTTAAATATCAATAATCAGAATCTTATAAACGAAATAAACTGCAACTGATTCAACTAATATGAAAATTTTCTGCATAAGCTTTACTCGCAGCACCTCACTCACTAATGGAAACTACTGGGTGGCAGTCTAGCTAAAAGCGGTGCACTCGATTTCGCGACCAAAAGTAGTTTTCCTTTATTTTTTGTTGGTGCAGAGGCTTTAGTAGGCATACACTAAAATCGGTATTTTTATTTTCAAATTCTGTTTCTTTTAATAGCCCTGCTACAAGCCAAAAACGAATTGAGTCCGTCTCGGCCTCTCAGAGAGTGTTTGAAAGACAAAAATGATGGATTTTGAGAAGCGCGTCAGCAAACAAACGAATGCCCGCACAAAAAAAGTGTTCAATTCAGTTTTTTAGTTAACTTTAGATAGTTCACAGGCTAAATAAAAGTATCTTCGATAAAAACATTTTCAAGTTACAGTTGGTTCAAAGACTACCTGTTTTGCAGGCTTAATCCAAAAACTAAAAGAAAAGAAGATTTGAGGAAAAATATCTCAAAAGTTGCGGTCTACATCTGGTATAAAAATCATATTAAAGTAAAGTTTTAAGCTTACTTGTTTGGTTTATAGGTTCAGAGGTGCTGGTATCTTCTGAGATTGCAACCAACAATAGATTGTAATCTGCCATTATGCGTATTTGCATAAATATAGGCCGTGTCGGATATCACGATTGTACAGGTTAAAAGTTGCGAGGAATTGCCTCTATTTTGCCTCCACTACACAACCGAACACACAAAACAACACTTGGAGGCATGGGCGCGTCGGTCAGCCGGGCCCATGATACACTTTATTAACTCACGTGAAAAACTCCACTGTTACAGTAATTCTAAGAACACGCCACAGCCGGACATGTAAACTTGAAAAAAACAACTATTGGAAAAATAGGCACCGTGTACTGGCCCCAACTTATGCTGTGGCATCGCCTTTGGGGTTATAAGGCAAAACTAATAAAATAAAGCCTAATAACATGAATACGAGCAGAAAACGAGATGCTACATAAAATAGCTAAGAAGCATAGGGACCAGTACAGATGGGAACGAAATTAAGGCTAACAGAATAAGCGAAAACTAAACTAAACAAAGCAAGTTGACGCGGCGAGGCCGTAGAATGACACGCATAACTAAACAGTCACTAAATCAAACCCCCTAACCGCGATCCCTCGCGCGCTATACTAGAACCCAGCTCTCCGTTCTGTGCCGGCAAAATCGTAATTTATGTCAATTCTAATTTATACAAATTACATTTTGACACTTTAATTCGTCTCTGGCCTCTAAAAGGAAGTGACTAATCTTTTTTTACTACTTTTGAAACGAAAGAGATATATTAACAAATGTTACAAGGATGGTCACGCATGTTGCTGATTACCACGATCAACTGGCGGGACGCCAGCGCCTTGTAACTACCTGTACCAAGAGAGGATTAGAAGACAGTGCTTTTAATGGAATTCTCTAGATCAGAAGTTGATTCAAGCTCTCTCAGTAATAAAAATCAAGATGACGACCTAGGGAAACAAAACATCTACAAGAAAGGCAACATTAAATTTGAAGTCCTTTCGGCTACAATTTCAGAGTGAATCTCAGATCACCGCGGTGCATAAATTATTGTAATAATCAAAAGTTCGGCACAACAAAAACAAGTCATCTAACCGTTTTATCTGTTCTCGGTACATAAGAAGGTTACCTTCTCTGTAGATTCTTGATGGAAAAAGTCGAGCTGAAGTAATGCCTTTTCGTTTATTTTCACAATCAAATCATAGCGTGATTTTTCACGTAATGTTATGGTCGCGTGGCCACGTAACTGGCAAAAATCTTTTAAATTGTGACGAGATTCTGAATCGAAACGAAAGTGGAAACGTCAGAAAAGAAAGGCACAAGATTACACAAGGCCTGACCAATCTCACAACCGATAAGCCACGAGTTAGTGTACGACGTTGACGGGTAATAGGGGACGCAGAATATCGCATACAGTAGATCGGACATGGCCATGTTTGCGATGAAATAATTTATCGTTTTTCTTAAGGTTGGCGTTTTATAAACGATCAACACAAGGAAATTAAAGAATTTGCCATTAACGAAACAGCATGCTGAAGAATCAGACTCAAAGCAATGGTCTGTCCGATTTTGTACGCTGTGACACTAAAGCAGCTTGAAGACTCGATCGTTCCATTCCCTGTTACTGAGTTCATGTTTGCTGACCTCTAAACAGCACGGTGCTCGGTGTTCACTTAAGTAACTAGTATAATATCAGCTGCTCGATTTGTTAATCGAAGTACTGGTTTCATCTTGTTACTGATCACCCTACGAGCATAGCCTCTTCTTGATCGAGGAGGAAAAACAGGAGGCTCTGCCTGAATGACGCCATGCCCCTAAAGTCGCTACAGCCCAAACTTCTGCACTAGTCAATGTTGTTTTCTCTCGTCAAACCGGTTTTTTCTAGTGCAAGCATCTGTTCGATAAACTGATGGTCATAACCGAGCCCGCTGTAACAGGCGCTCGGCTATTAGGCCTTGGTTCGAAAGCAACATGGCGCGCATGCTCAACAGAGATCTCATTAAAGCAGAGTCTTTCTCGAGTACGCCAAAAGCGAAAGAAAGGCTCTTCGGACAGGGTGGTTACATGTGGTTACTAATAAGCCTAAAGAACTTGCCAGCCCCGATCAGGTGATTGTATTTATAGCTTACTCGAAAGGGAGCTCACTGAAACGATACGTGTTCTAAAAAAAATACACAAGTGAGCCAAATTTAATCTTGGCTGTACGCTTATAAACTACGCATTTTTGAGATTACAAAAGCGGAATTAAAAATTTTAAACAGCGACAAAATGTCTATAAAAGCTTTTTCAAACTGGTGATGCTTTAATTCGGCTGTTTTTGTAAAATAATAAAATCCAAGTATTTGATGCAAGTAACAGTTTTTGGGCAGGTGAAATAAGAGAACTCCAACGATATCCTGCAACTCTACTGCTTTAACCGCGGCAGGATAAGCACAGTCGGTAGAGCTTCGACTGTAGAGAGGGAGGTCGTGGTTTTGATTCCCAGGGCCAAACCAATACTCAAAGTCATAAAATAACTCAAAAATGAAGGTACTACCTTTGCTCTGCAAATGGCGAGACCTTTGCGTGGCTTGGATGACGGCGTAAAATGGCGGTCCTGTCTTTAGTACGAGACGTAGTAACAGTGCATGTCCTCAATTAGTACTTTTGTGCTAAAGAACGAATATATTGACAGATCAACAATTTTTTTACGTATGCCCGCATGTGTTACGGCCATTTTATCCAACCGGTCCCTGGCCCTCTTACTGTGTTTTACTTACACAGCTAATACAAAGAGAGGTTAAGCACCACGTCACTACGGCAAACAGCTAACAGAAGCCTACCTATTGGCGTCTGCTGTCGGTAATCATCGCTTCTTGCGCTTAAACTTCGTGAATGTAAACAGACATTGGGCTGAGTTCTGTGATCTAAAGGATGGCGAGGTTTTAATTTCTGAACTTACTACTATCAATTCTTTTATGTGCCAAAACAAAAATTCATAAAAACAGCACTGTAAAGAGGCATACATTCCATTGTATCCGAAAACGGTCAGTTTTTACTTGCAGTTTCGGCATGGACGTTAAAACCACCTTGAAACCGCGGGTAAATATGAAAAGGGCGAGAAACATCACTTGGCAATCTGCTGCCAGTAAAGATTTACATGCTGGTTGATCTGTCTAAAGTATAGGACAAGGTGAAGGCTACTCTGAAATTCGAGTATATATAAAGATCATTTATGAATGTTATTGTTGTCTGCTTGTTTTTACAGGAGCTCCTTTCCAGAATTCACCGAGTGGTCGATCGAGCTGGTTTTCGGGAGAACAGTCCACATCAAGGCCTTACCTAGGGCATCATTCCTTTCCCCCACTGCAGGGATTAGATGAGCCGACCAGCCTTCAAAGACAGACGGAATATCTGAGCAGTTTCAGGGAAACGGCGACGGATGAAAAATTTCCAGGCTTCGATACGAGTTCTCAACAAACGGCGCAAATGGGCGTCTCCTGGGACAGTATCTTCGGGCTGGAGAGTTCGTCCTCAACTAGCCTCAATTCCTCCTCCGGCTATTTTGAAAGCAGTACCGAAATGTTACCATCGTCCTCGGTTTTTTCTTTCGGACAAGGCTCTGGCCATTCTTTGGGTCAATCCGAGACTCCAGAAGGTCCGTCTCATCGCAACCAGCAACCTTCCACTGAAGGCCACGAGTGCGGAATAACAAGTTGCGACCAAGAGGTCAGCGACTTAATTGGAGTGACTCCATTCAACGCTGGAACGGAGATTGATTTTCAGAGCTATTTGATACAAGATGCGAAAGTGGAGGTGGATTTCTATGATCTGGAAAACCGCGTGTTCGAGAAGCAACAGAGTCGAAAAGACAAGCAGGCACGGCAGCGAATAATCAATGGAAAGGTGAAGTTTATGGTTTTCTCTGATTGTCAGGTGAAGGATGTTCGTGTGTGGGTCCGCAGAGAAACTAAGGCTGCCAAGCTGGAAAAAGATGATAATGGCATGGTGCCGATCCAGGCTATTCTGCACAGAAAAGATAACCGCAATGTAAGGCAATATAAAAACATAAATAAATAAGCACATAAAATAGGAAAATAAGTCAATACGGTCGAACTTCTTTCACGACCACACCTCCCTAGCAACCATCTACCATAAGCGCCTAGCTATCCCAAACACCAAAATACGATCCAAATTTTCCCAGCCAAAGCCCTATAATAACAATTGCGACCACCTTTTGGCCTGATAGTTTCGTAGTTTCATTGTTTTTAACATCTTTTCAGAGCCGCCGCTTGACACTTGGTGTGGTTCTTAATTGTTGGTAGTATGTCACGCCACTCAATGTACACGAAAAATTTTCAGTGACAACATGGAATTACACGTATGGATAACTTCAAAATTACATGCAATAATAAATTCTCTGCCAAAGAGTAGATGTGTCGGGACCACCTGTGTGTAGTTCGCATCCACTATGGTGGTCGTTAATGGGAGGTTCGACTGTAAGCATCAAATGAGGTAGCACATCCTGCTAGGGGTTCTTCGTCTGCTACTTCGGATGAACAGGATTAAAAATAGTTTCAAGAGCTGTGCAGTCGTAGTCAGAGGTTTAAAAAGAAATCTAAACAAGACCCAAAAGGCCTCAAGATTCCATAGCGTTCAAGGAAAGCGTTTTCGAATGGGATAACTCGTGGGAGGCACAAATTGTATTTTAAAAGTACAAGATTTCTGTAAGCTCCAGACGTACGTACTTACATGCATTCACCTTTAGGGTTTTCGACAAAGCTGATCATGAGATATCAGTTGTAAAAAGCAAGTCGAAAATTTTCTCCTGTAGATGGTTGAGTACCAAGTGGACCTAGATTCTGTCTATGAGATTGAGGGTTCCAAACGACCAGTATACAAATTGGCCAAGGTTCACACGCAGGAGAGAAACAAATTTGAGCTGCTGGTTCAGGTTACCTTCGACAATGGCGAAGTCAGTGAGTGTTTCACGTCTAAGCCTTTCTTGATCAAGACAAAACGAATCAACGATGAATCAGCAGGTACGAAAATTGATTTTTCAAGTTATGACAAAAATTGTATTAATTGGTGCATATTGTTAGTCGAAAAGAAGTGTAAAACATACCCCTTTCTAGAGTAAGACCACAATAGCCGGAGCCGCCTCAATTACTATTATCAAAATATAGCTGTCAGTTCCTGTTCAACGAAAATTAAGTCAAGTGGCAGAGTCTTCTGCCGCTCTTCATAATGGAAGACTTAATTTTAAAAGTATCGACCAGAATAGAATACAATAACGAGCCTACCGGCCTAGGTAATCATATTACTGACAGTGTATATCTACAAAAGCAGACAAAAAAAACTACCAATGCTAACTGCCTGAATAAATGCACAATAAGGTAATAAAAATCGATAATAATAATTTCTTAAAGCGAAAATGGATATTCATGCATTCAAAATCTAAAATACAACAATGTCCTTTTTCAGTAATCTACCATCAATCATGTAATCTTCGCGAATTAGTTTAAGAAGCTAAACAACGACTGTCAATTAATCTAAAGAGAATTCCGAACCTTTTTACAATGTCACGGCCAGTTGAGTGTAGAGGAAGCTAGCGGGTAGTTTGTAACACATTTTGTGTCGTCGAGATACGAATTACCTTATTTCAAAATCAAATAAGATTACTACTTCAATGCAAAACAATGGCTATTACTCAATACATGTAAAACGGTCCATAGTGAACCTCTAAATATTCTCCTAATAGACCATTTCCGTTTTCCAAAAACTCTTACTTTCAAATGAGGCTAAGTGTAAAACCTTCATTTTGAGAACGAGTTTTATTTTTTTTTTTTTATTTGCAGCAGGATAAAAAATCATTTTCATATCAATGGCTTCGCACTTAGCCTCGCTTTAAAACAGGGGCTAGAGGCAACTCGAAATGGCCTATTGATTTTGCCGCTCATTCAAATACCATTTTTGCATTGATAGGTCGGCTTCTAAAACGATGCTCAGTGTCTTGATACTATGTTTTATAGAATCTGCCTTATACTCTAAAGGGAAACGCAAAAGACCAAGCACATGTCCAAGTAGCACAGCAAGATGGGTATCCCAAGGAAAGCACCAGCCAACAATGGTCACCCAGAAAACCTTGCAAACCGAGGCCGACTCAACAGGTTAGATCTACGCTCTTCTAATCTGCACCAGCGTCTATTCCAAAATGGTTATCAATTAATTGCCGAACGCAACTTTGGCACTATTTTTGCTGTACTTAATAATGTGATTGGCTAAAGCGGGTCATGCCACGCCAAGTTTTCAGCAATTCCATGCTTGCTCGCGTTTGTGGCAACGCTTCACATCCAGGGTTCAAAGAATTTGTTTGTGATTTTTGATTGGTTTCTTTTAGACTGACTGTCTATCTGTAAACAACGAGAAAGTAGTCAATCTCAAGCTATGAATTAGTTTTTCTCTTACGAGGCCCAATCAAAAATCATGCTACTCTGCTGACGACCAGAAGAAGCTCTTTCTTTCCCTCAGACAAAAATTTATCTTTACTGAAAGTTCCACATCAGCGCTCATGTACCTAAATACTTGTTACAAAGTAAATATCAATTAAGTAGCTTAAAAACTGTCTGAATATATGTTTATACTTTATACTTTCAATTAGATTCAATGTCCCCACAGTCAAATTCTTCAGCTGGTTCCACGACAACGGCCAGAAGCTCTGAAGGTAATTGAACTAAAACCCATCATATCCCCTTCCGCGAGTAAACTAATATACTCTTTAATACTCAAGTTGGTCGCACTCATTGACTGCTGCTCCCTTAGATCCTAAAAAGACGCTTGTATTAACGGTCACCCATAAGCGGGGAATCACTTGATTTTTAGGAGAACAAAAGGGGGATCAGTCGTAACTGAGACCCCAAAAGGGAGGATCACTGAACACTTTGGAAGGATTCAGAGGGGGGACCACTCAAATTAGCTTGGAAAATAAAGACATAGGTGGGGGGGGGGGGGGGGGGGTTAATAAAAGCAATAAAGTGTTATTGGGGGGGGGCATTTAAGAGATGGGAAAGCAACACGCGGGAATCCAAGGAGAACAAAAGGGGGATCAGTCGTAACTGAGACCCCAAAAGGGAGGATCACTGAACACTTTGGAAGGCTTCAGAGGGGGGACCACTCAAATTAGCTTGGAAAATAAAGACATAGGTGGGGGGGGGGCGGGATCATGAAAGTCATCAAATGTTATTAGGGGGGATCACTTCAGTGAAGTAACATTCAAAGGGGGGATCGACTAAATTTTACCTCGTTTAGCCCCAAATTCTCCGCAAGCCGGCTTATTTACAACTTTTTTTTTTCATTTTCCATCAAGATGCGTCACAAGTCGACAACCTAGTTGTAAAGCACCTAAAAGCCCAGCAAGCAAATATCGAGAGGCTTAGTTTTGGTTGCATGATGCAGACATCCAGAGGCGATATCGCCTATCATTTGAGGCTTACAAACTCAGATGTTTACCAAACTCTCGAGGAGGGAGTTGTGGTCGGTTTCTTTCCGGACGACGACGGACCAGCTACGATTGAGCCGCTGAGCAGTGAAAATGCATCGCAGGCAGTAATGGCTGGAGTGATCAGTAGGTCAGCGTACGTTGAAGCGCATGCTCCGTTAGATACAGACAAAGGTGGGTGACAATTTCCCCCAAAGCTGTAATCCTTATTGTCAGGACCAACAAAAAGCAGTCCCGCAATCTTGACGTTCAATTGACGCAGACGTAGGCAGTTTCAGAGAATAGCAGACCAACAAACAGACATAGGTACAAAACACTGTGGCTATGCCTTAGGATAAACGCGGCTGCCACTTTTTTCCACAACATGTACAAGCATACTGAGTGATTTCATATCTAGTCAGTACTTTTGTCCCTGTTATATCCACTTTATGATACTGCGGAAATATTTCCAGCGGCGGAGATGCTCATATTTCCCTTTTTATTTGATCTATCTGACTTTGAGCATTTTTTTAACAATAAAAAAATTGTAATACTGTGACGCGAATGATTTTTGCTTTCGATTGTAATACGTGCTTATTGCTATGTATGGGGTTATATTTCGTTGTCCAAACACACCATAAAAATACTGCACGAATAAGCGTGCACAGTTTGCAGCTTTGTTTCTAATTGTTTATGTAGAGTGCTTGTAAACTAGCTGGATACGCTAAGTGCACTTTCCACTATAAACAGACCTTTAACCTATAACCTTAAAAAAACACCATCAAGCTGAAACAGTGAGTTTCAATTTATTTACAGGGCAGACGGACATCGTTTGTGTGATCGGAATGGTCAAAGTAAAGATAGTAGGATCGGTTCGAACAGGCGAGCGCATTTACGCGTCAACAGGCCAGCCAGGAACAGGCATCCCAGAGTCCCATCTGCCTTTGGGAGCGTTCATTATCGGAAACCACACACTGCTTGGCATGGCTATGGAAACCTGTAAGCCTCGTTATCACGATGAGGTGAATTTGGTTAGATGTTTCGTGTGCATCGTACTAGGGATCAACAGTCACCAGCTGTCGAGTGAAGTGGAGAACATCTTGGAAAATATCGACATGGATATCAAGGTTGCCATTGGCAAATCTAATAAGACTACTTGTCGACGTAAGTCTTGCCTTCCCTGGTTCTTTAAAGGGTAAATGCTAAAAAAAGATCTCTTAACAGACACCTCTATAAGACGTCTTTCTTAGAGAGAGTTGCCTGTCGACTGGATAAGCCTTACATACGGCACTCCCCTCAATATAGAGTGTTTTCACATGACGTCACGGCGGCCATATTGGCGTCCCAAAACAATGAAATGGCGGCCATTTTGGTTTCCCATACCACTCCTGTGGGAGTTGAACTCTTTTCATATGCAAACACAGTTACGATTATAATCAAACCTCAACATGTTATAATCAAAACTGGAAGAACTCATACCACTTACAGTCGACTGCCGATAAATCGAACCTTCAAGGGAAATAGAAAAAATTTCGAGTTAACGGGAGTTTGGGTTGTCGGGAGCTCGAAGAAAATAGCTGGAGGTATGGTGAAAAACAGTTTTTGCTGTACTGTGAACATTTTAATCCCATTTTATCGTAGAAATGTTAAGTGAAAATTGAAACCTTAAGATACTTTACGATTATAAATCAGAACGTACTGTAACAAAATTTAGCCTAAATAGAGCATGCGTTTTACTTTTTTGAGAAGTAAAGTTGTTTCACGTTAGATTTGTGACAAACAACATCAGCCTCCACTAGTGAACTATATGTCTACAACACCTCAGTGGCCGGAGACTTCAAAATCCAATGTTTCGGACGCCAGTATACTGCCTTTTCCTCCACGTTTTAAGCGCTCAAAACATGGTTCGAGTTATCAAGGGTAAAATTATATATAAATGGCCTGGGGGGAAACAAAAATTACTTCGAGTTAGCGGGAGGTTCGAGTTATCGAAGGTTCGAGTTACAGAGCTTAAAATTCCAGTAAACGTGTGAATGAGATCCAGGGGAAATCGATTTTAGTTCGAGTTAGCGCGAGTTTCGACTTAGCGAGAGTTTGAGTTATCAGGAGTCACTGACTGTAATTACCTACATACAGTTCGGGACGACGGATGGAGAAACAAGTCAGCTATTGGTCAGGAGGGAAGTAGAGTAGTTTCCTCCGGACTTGTAGTTCGGTCACACTCACCAAACGCACTGAGGAACGGAGTTCAAGAAGTATTTCAGTGCTCACAGCCGTGTTCTTCGTGTCGTCACGCAACGCTCTTCCAGCCTTGCGTGACGACACAACAAACGGCTGTGGAGCAGACGAAGTGCTCACGGGCTACAAACTGATAAAACACTTGAGAGTGTCAATTGAGTTCCTTTCTAATCGATCAACATGGGAAGAAAATAAACGTGGGTGACCTATCACACTTCAGCATCGGAAATAAATAAAGTTCCCGGGGGACCTAATTCTGGATCCGAACTCACATGTGTCTACGAACCTAATCTTACTATGAAAAAACTTTCATGAATGAGATTTTCTTGAGGAGATTGATGCGTTCGATGTTAGGAGAACGCACGCTAATCTCATTTGTCTACCTTTCAAGCGCACAGTTAAATTACATCACAACGCCTTGCTTTCATTCCCTTCAGGTTCGCTTTGACAAACGAATAGCGTACACAAAATACAATGTAAGTTTCTGAAGGTTAACCTTGTAAATTCCTATGATTATTATCCTTTTAACAAAGCCTCCGCAGCGGAGTCCCATACCTAAAAGAAACAGTGAAAAGCTACCGATGCCAGGAAATTTGGTTATGACGTCAGCGTACACCGTCCGTATAGACCCCCTGGGGTAGGGGTGAAAAAGCTTAGTAGGGTAGGGAAGGGAGTCCCAGACATATACTTTGCATGCACGCGTTTCGTTTTGGCGCAGTGATGTAGACTTATGGGTAATAATTCTTCTCGTTTAGCCTTGGTAAATCTCTATATTAACTACCTTTGAATAATAAAAAAGTTTTAAATTATTTTCTTGTTGTTTCAGGAATGTTCCTTATTATTCTTGGATTCATCACTTTCCTTATATTACTTGGATTTTTCATGTACGAACTTCTTACACCAGGATCCCTCTTCCGATACTACCTATGTCGAATAGGGTCCTCTTCAGGACCCCAACTTAGCTGCATGTACAACACCAGTGAAGAGGTACGACAGCGTAACTAATCGCACTTCCACATGCATGGGCCATGCCTACAGTCAAATGTGAACTGCGAGCAAGCTCTGCAGGACGCTCTGGCGAAGGGGCGAGAAAAGGAAGGAGAGCCTGCAACTGCGTCTGTGGAATTTGAATATCTGTATCGAAAAAGTCGATGGGAAATGCTGATTGCCGGAGATGACATTAGTAATGACGTCATTACCCTTGGCACGTATTTTTCACTGATTTTTCGCTGATTGGCTGGAATCTGACAGCTCAGTCGACGGGGAGCCACAAGGGAATTGGAAGTGGAATTCAAATTTCAGAGACGCAGTTGCAAGCTCTCCTTCCTTCTCCTGCCGCGCCGCCAAAGTGCCCCGGAGAGCTTGCTCGCAGGCTTGAGGCTATTCCACGAACCGATATTGCTTTCTTGGGCCAATTCTGTGCTGAATGTATTATACTTAGCGCCTTTTCCCGTGCGTACACAAAATGATCCTGTAAAGTTTTGAAGAAGACATCAAACAAATTTCACCGGCAAGCACCTACCATAATAATTTTTCGGTGATTTTCACAGCCAGAGCATTAAAACTTGAAAAAGTAAGCACTTTCACAATCCATGTCGATCCTTACCATCCGTTGCAACAGACGAAAAAACAGTTTCAATGCCTAAATAAACCATTATTTTTGGAATTCAGTTAATGTGAAAAAAGTTTTAGCCTTTCAAAAAGGTAGCAAATGGTGTGACACAGACCCTTTAATCTTACGTGGAGGCGGCATGGCCGAGCGGTTAGAGCGATGAAATTCTAGCCGGAGGCCAAGACTTCAATCCACCCCCACGTGACCCTCCCCGCCCCCTCCCTCGCCGTCTTAGCTTCTAGCAGGATGTCTTCTTACTCCTGAGTTCAACTCCTCGCGGTCGCGCTTGTAAATACCCAACTACCGGTTTGACTCTGTCTAGTTGGTATTCCTAACCTTGTGAGCCACCACAGTGAAAACTACTGGGTATACCCTTATTAAGTCACATCAGGTTCAAAGGCCAACATCTTGCAATTGAGTCAAGTGGTCAAACGATTAGATAATCTGGCTATTCAACTTGACACTACAAAAGATATATACCTCTGCCTATTGATGGCCAGCGTATTTTTTTTTTCTCATTGTTTTGGTTACATTGTCTTGTAGGACGTGCATGTTCATTATATACCCTTCACGTTACTGAGACTTGAAGAAAAGATCCCATCTGGGGAGAAAAAGCCCACTGCATTGGGAAACGAAACAAGTAAGTTTCTTTTAAGCCACCGATTTACGACAGACATGTGACATCAAACGCATTCATGACGTTCTGGGCCGTTTAAGACTGCGTTGCTTTACATGGGAGAATTGACCCTTTTACTTCCAGGCTGAATGATGGAGTCTTGTCAGGCTGGTTTATAACGTTTGCACACATAAGAACGGTTATTTCGGGGCGATTTCTGTAAAGGATCAAAACTGTACTGTACCGCGCCTATGCCGAAAGTGGGGTTTCACTATTGGGATAGGTTCTGTGTCAGACTTTTTTGCAGTGTGAACCGGTATTCTGATCTAAAAGGAGGTGAATAAGTGAAAGCGAGCTCTGGAGACCACTGAGATAGAACTAAATATGAAGGAGTGAGGACTGTAATTTAGTTCACCAAGCCCAGTCGGCCAACCGCACGATGTTCGATGAGTGTCAACGACTTGCTCCAGTCCTGGGCCCTTACTGTTCATATATGATATACTGTGGCAGGTAGCTTATCGCTTCGACGAGAAATGCTATCCGGTATCGCGTAAACGGGCAATTAAGGTTTCTGGGAAACTGCCCACCTACCCCTCCCCTAAGCTAACATTAACACTTTGGGCAAAATGATGGGTTAGGGGAGGGGCAGGTGGGCAGTTTCCCACCATCCTTGTGAGTATAGTCGGAAGAGAGGGGAGGGAGGGAATCATTTGCATAAAACGGAAAGCAGACATAGCTGCTTGCGTTAAAAAAAGGAGGTGATTGTGTTGTAACCAGTCAGATGTCACATGTGCGTCTGACTGCACGATTTATGGAAATTGCCTCTGTACAAAGGCTTTGCACGGTGAAAGAAACTTTCCTTCAAACTTCATCGCGATTATTTGATTCCAGTTCGTTATCTTTGTGAAATGTAGCTAAAGGCGAATTCTCCAGGAGTTGTATTCCTAAGAACGTTATCCAAAATCAGAAGGAGAAGAAAATATATCGCACTTGTTTGTTTGCCTACGCCCTCTACAAAAAGTAAAAATCAGGCAATTTCACGTCGAAGTCGAGCAGTAACGTTAAAAAAAAATAATAACCAAAAAAACAAAAACGAGTGCATTGCACGTGCAGAATTGCTGTTCTGCATGCGTTTGAAAAACCTAATTTTAATGCTAGCATGTTGTTTTCTTGACAGACTCAGTGTTCTACTTTCTCAACCTTGACCGCTGTGCGTATGGGGGGCGCACAGACGCTAGTAAGTATTTCCCAGAAAAGACCAAGCCTGTTCGAGGCCCGACGTTTGTGGCATCGTTCAAGAATAACTGTTCGAAGATTTACTCTTATGATGGACGGGAGAAAAAGTGGAAATTGAAGGAATGCAACACAACAGACTTGACTATGACCTGCTCTTGCAATGCCGCAGGAGTTTTTTGTTGTCAGTCTCTTGGACTTCTGATAAGCTTTGCTGCTTTTTGTTTGTTAGCCTGTGAACAGAGTCCCAACTGAAAGACGAGAAGTATTGCTATTCTCGCCGCGCCGCAACCGGAAGGTCTTTTTCAGTTTCACAAGCTGCTTTTTCGGTCTTTTTGAGCTTAGTAATTTTTTTTCAAAATGCCCAAGTTGTTGATACACTGCTATTTCGTGCTATTACAGTGTAACAACTATTAATCTGTCTGGGCGAAAAAATAATTTGCAGGCCTGTTTTGTAATCAGGGAAGGTTCAATTCTGCAGTTTTGTGCAGTGCTTTTTTTAATTTAATGGTTAGACCATAAATTATTTTAATCCACGCTAATTTAACATGGGCGTGGTAGCTTTTGATCTTCGGTAGAACATTCTATAAATTGGTTTTAAAAGTGGGTGAATTGTTCATATCACTTATTTGTTGTTGTTGTCGTCTTTTTAATGGAGACGAAAAGTGTGATGTCACAAATGTTCACATTCGCGAAAATATGGAAATGGTTGTCATTTTCAGAAAGAACAAGATGAACAAAGTTGCCTTGCCAAAAATCAGCCTGTAAGTGCAAATTGGTGGAGAGATATAACCCCCGTATGGACTCAGATCACTTTATATGTAGTCCGTAGCATAACGGTGCTTATTTCTTCCCACCAATTTGCACCAACAAGTTAATTTGTGGCAAGAGGGTTTTTCATCTTGTTCTTTCTCGATACACCAACCAATCCCATAACTACACAAATTTAGTTTCTATGACGTCATCACTTCGCTTCTCCATAGAATTGACCTTGAAATGTTATGATTGATGTAATAGGCTTATTCATAGGAGTACATTGGGTCGATCGGTTGAGCTAAACTGACCTTAAATTAAGCCAAATACTAAAACTAATTGTGATTTAGTGCACTGGTCAGTTGCCTGATTAAGTCAAATCTTGAAAAGTAGAAATTACTTATGTAATCAGTGAAATGAGTTAATCAAATGGCTTATGAGTACTGGAAATACTAATTAAATTGATGCACCGCTAATATTTTTACCATGGCATTGACATGCAATATGTACAAGCAATTCCTCAGTGTCTGTATTATTTTATGGCTCATCTGATTAAAAAAAAGTATTCCCCCAACACACTGG